CTTTCTCTGTCTCCTCTACAGCTGTGCAAAGCAACTACCATGAGAGGCAGCCTGCCCACATTCACTCTCTTGGGCAAACTGGCAGATGCCATCCCAGGCTTTGCTGATATACTGGTAGTAGAGCACAGTGAGTAATGTGTCATGCCCCACTGAAGGATAGTAGTCACAGCCCTAATACATATATGCATGCATGCACTGCCCTGTACCCCATGTGAGTTCATGAAGGTCACGCAACAAGCCTGTCCCAGAAGTCAGAGTGGCATTCAGGCCTCCTGGGTTGCAGGTTGGTACCTTCATAGCAGGCTTGTCATTGTGCTCTTAGCCAGCCTGGCAAAACCAGTCTCTGTGAACTGGGGTTTGTGGGTCTGCCTCACAGGCAACATGCATTTAGTTTTTCTTTCCTTTGTGCAGCCCCTGGGGGTCTGGTGAGCAAGCTTAGATGTTTGTGGAAGTAGCTGGGATGATGGATCTTCATATGGTGGACAGCAAGTTCCTCTAGCCGTTTATTACTGTACCTTTGCTCAGAGGGACAGATGGTGGTGAGCACATCACCTAATTATGTCATTCCTTAATCTGCACATACCAGTGTGTCCAGTGGGCTTTTGCAAGTTTTCAAGGGAAATAGGTTGATGCTTTCAAAAAGGCAGTTCGTTGGTGTGAATGTTTGCTGTTTCTGTTCCTCATGCTAGGTAATTTAGTGGATCACATGCTGATGGGATTGACATACCCAAATGAAGGTATAAAGGCTGCTGTCTGCTACTTGTATGGCAAGCTGTACTCCTCTCCTGTTGGCACAGAGCGGCTCTCAGCACACTTCGAAGAAAGGCTGTGTGATCCTTTCTTGAATACCTTGGGGCGTGCGCAGACGAAGGAGCTGCAGGTTAATTGTTTGGGTAAGGCATCGGTGAGAGAAACTGCAAGGTGTGAGGGAAGGCTTAGAATGAGGAAGGAATCCTTGGATGCTTTAGACACTCTAATGTGTGTTGTTCCCTAGAGGAGCTGTTGTGCTGCTTCGCTGAAGCAGTCGATCCTTTCTGTTACTCCATAGCAATCAAATGGCCCAGACCTGCTGCCGAGCTCCCCCAGCCCTCTGTTGTCCGTTGAGCCCCCCGTCTGCCTATCACTGACTAATCTTCAGAGCCACTTCAGAGCTTGCACTGTGTCCTGGCCTGTCTCAATGTGGTATTATCGTCCTGGGAACAGTCCATCCCTCAAAGTGTCTGAATGCAAACACTATTTGTGGACAGGTGGGTTTTGTAGAGCACTGGGATGGCGTCTAACAAACATGGTCTTCAGATGTGAGGCATCATGTTATTTATGTTAGAAAGCTGATGTGGAAGTGGCACTTATTTGCATTTATGCTTCAAACTGCACTTAACTGTTTCTGGGAGCACAATTTCAGCCTTTCTGACATTGCTTGTTTGTAAACCATCTAGAGAATTCCTTTTTTTTTTTGTAGAAGGTAAGCAGGAACTGAATTGCTCCTCAGATCATCTACTCAGCTGCTAGAAATGGATGATGATTTCAACTCCTTTGAAAGCAGAGTTCTGTAGCTTAGACGATAGCCCTTGTGAATTTGTACTGACAGGTACTGATGATTTCCATCAATACCTGTAGCAGTGCTCTATCCTTTTATACTGAGGGCTCTTCTGCGTGTGTGGATATCCCTTAGCTAAGCACAGCTAGTTCAATAAGAGCCTGTGAAAGCAGAAGGGGGAGATAAATGCCAGTTCTCTAGGAAGTATTCCAGGGAAAATGTCTAGTTATTGTTGGGTCACTGACTGTAGCTTGGAGAAAAATGCAGGTCAAGATCTCTCCCAAGAAACAGTTTAAGGGGTGGGTACTGGAGCACAGAAGACGATGTGACTAGAGCGCTCCTGAGATCGTGTACCAGTGCATAGGCACGTCCCTGAGAAGGAACAGAGAGTGGATCAGACCCAGCAAAAGTTGTCAGCAACAACAAGTTGCAATAAATGGGGCTTATGGCAGTGTCTGGGAACACAATGAGAAGAAGCTCCCTAAACTGGAGGGGAGGGCCTTTGTTAGGAGTGCAGGAAAGGGGAAGAAGCTGGCAACAAGTCTTGGGCTGCAAATACTCCTGTGTTAATATAATCCTTGCTATGCCCAGTATGGTGCTTACTCTTGCTCCCCCTTTTGCAGGTTTGCTAAAGGAGTTGCTGAAATCTGACCATTTTGTATCCATTCTTATGAATAATAATTCAAAGACAGAGGAGGAGTCTGAGAACCCTGACTTTTTAGAAGGGGAAAATCCACTGCCACTTGTTCTCAAAAAGGTGATTGCTAAAGTAGTAGTGAATTTTCAGTAGACAGAAATAATTTGCTGGCCTGTATTGAATCTTTATCTGAGGCACTCGAGTATGCTGTTGCCAACAACAGCAATAGAGGTTGCAGTGGGAAATGGAGACACCCCCACACATCACCTCATTGTTCATTCCTGCATCCTGGAGGTGGGAAATTTTACTCCTGGCCTCAGCTGATTTTACTCACTCACACTTGAGGTCTGATACAGCACTTGTAGTGCCAGCATGACTAAGCGTGGGGGCAGAGCTATTCTTACTCGTAATCTTCTCTGTTGTGGTTCTCGTTTTGTGGGTTTTTTTTTGTTTTTTTTTTGAGTGTATTCAGTCCAGTGTTTTATTTTGCCTTAGCAAGTTTAATCCGTGAAATACATGCCAAAAGGCAGATCTTAATTTATGTTTTAAATTTTAAAATGTAGAGGAAACGGTTTCCTACTCATATCTGCATAGTTGACTTCCTCTCTCGTTTTGACTTTTGTTTCCCAACAGCTTCTGTTGACCAGAGATGAGATGTTACAGGCAGCAAGTTCTCACTGTGTGGCTGCAGTGCTGGTTCACTCTCCCAGCAGATATGCTCCTGCTTTTATCCATGCAGATATCCCAGGTGAAGAAATGCACTGGCATCTTATTGTTCATCTCCCAGTATTGAAGCACTCCCTGGCTGTTTGTTTTAGGAATCATTCTGGCTCCATGAAATCCACTGATGGCATAATGTGTGTGGTGACCATTTTAAACCAGTAAAGATAGCTAATGTGATTTTAGGAATAGAAGGAGAGAGTAAGTTTTTGACTGAATGCATGCAAGCAGCTGTCAACAGGCAGAATGGAGTTTCCACAGTGAGAATTTGGACAAGTCCTTGAGGTTAAGGTCCTTCTTGCAAGACCTTAGATTCGAGCTTAAACAGACTGGGGTTCAATCTTATCCCACTAAATATTGTAAGTTTGCACAGAATTTGGTCTAGGACTCAGCTTTAGAATGTAGCTATGTGAGATGGTTTATTATTTCTCTGTAATCCCAAAAGACCGAAATACTTTCATTTTACAAATTCTTTGGGAGATGTAAAAGTTCTGAGGAAAAAAAGATCACAGCATCTGTGGTAAAGCTTGCTTTGTGGCTTTTCGTTTGTGCCAAAGGCTAGAGCCACAATTGAGCTCCTGCCTGCTGAGTGTGTGCTGGGAAGATGCCTGTCTGCAAGACTCTGTTCTCCAGTCACCTTGTTTTGAAGACTAATATACCCGCAAGCATCCATTCCGCTCTCCATTCCTGCCATTTCGTAATACAACTGTTCTCCCTGTGGCTGTTGCTATGCTTCCTTGTTTCCTCTTCCTTCCTCTGCTCTGTTCTAGGAGCAGCTGTGCCATGCTGTGAGCAGACTACCTCTTCCTAGGGCAGCCTTATTTGTGTGTGTGTGTGTTTGCAGAATTCCTGTTCGAGTGTCTCTCATGCAACAGTGAAATTCTCATCTGGTCAGTGTATTGCTGCCTGCTCCTCCTAACTGAAGAGCGCCTTTTCTTCTCAAAGTGTCACACAGTCTATGGTGAGTCATCAAGCTTTCTGACAGAGTGACTGCGGTAACACTGTGGGCATTTGTTGTGCCTCTAGCTGAATTTCAATGTTTTACACACAATCACAATTTCCAGTCAGAACGGATAAAAGACAGAAAATGAGTACCCATCAGACATGTTTGTGATGTCCAACATAGCTTGAATTTAGTGTGTCACTGTCCTGATGAGCATGCATTCGTTGGAATAACCAGTATCATGACTGACACTACCTAAGTTATTATTAGGTGTTTCTGTGGACGGAAGAGTGGATTTAGGAAGAAAGGCTAAATTCCTTCCGTTCTTCTGGACTTAACCGCTAGCAGTGGAAGTTGGGGACTATTATCAGAGAGCTGAGTGAACACTCAGCACTTTTGGGTGGTTGTTTCTGTCAGTATCTCAGAAGAATAATTGTTCAAATCTTCCTTCCTTTTAAAAATTAATTTTGCTTCCATCCTGGAATTTGGGGTGTTAAAAGCCCTCTCTGTGACTTCTCTTGAACATGTGCAGGCATTGAATCTCTGGTGAGGAGTCTCCAAAATGTCCTGCAGCTGAACAATGTGGAGTTGCACAAACAAGGGCTCCTGCTCTTCACTGAAATACTGAAACGGTAAGGATAAGGGAGTTCCCCGCTCAGGCTTGCACAGGCAGCGTTTGGTGACTCAGGATGGAGGCTGTGGTGCTTTCGCTTTTCAAAGTTTTTGTCTGAGACCAACTATCTACACCTCCAGAGCCTTTGTGTTTAAAAGATGTGGCTGAAGAAATGCATGTCCTTTATTCTTGTGAAGAACGGCCTGATGGTTGTTTCCCAACCTCCCAGCTTGTCCTCTTTGCACACACATCCACCAGTATATCTGCCTCTTCGTGCTTCCTTGCCAATTTGGGAGATGAGATCTCCTTTCAGCCGTAGATGGAGCAGGAGGGAAGGCTAGGAAGGTCCAGGCGTATGTGAGCAGGCCAGCTCCTGCTAAGGGTGCCTCTGTGACAAAACAGAGCATGCAAATTCCCTGACTTCTAGTCTTGTATCGTGATCTGAGCTAAATTCAAACAGCAAAAATGAATTCCAGGCTGAAATGTTAATGTCTTCTGTAACTTTTTTCCTCTTGTTTTCTGCAAAGGAATAACATACCCTGGCTTGTTTTTCTTCTGTATTTCCTGTTCTTGCTTCTATGATCTTGTTCCCGTCCTGTCATGCTAGTGACAGAGTCTTGTTTTTGCCACTTAGTTCCCTCAAGAGAGCCCGTCAGCTGAATTTTGGAAATGTCAGAGTCAATTTCGTAGCAAGTGGCAGGGTAAAAAGGATAAGGAAAAGCAGCAGTGCTAGAACAGTGTGATGATGCCAGTGTGGGACCTGTCAAAAAGATAAACCAGGATGTGGGAAACACTAATTACAGCGTTTATGCTTGTAAAACAAAGAGAACGTTCAGTGCAATTACCCTCATTTTCTAGCACACCCATTCTGTTTTTCTGAGCTTTGCCTTAGAAATGATGTTTTATTTAAAACTTTCTCATAGTGGGGAAAGGAGTCTCATCCTGGAACCTCTCCTCTTGTTTTTTCCTTGCAGCTGGATACTCTTGTGTAAGCGAGCCCCACACTCTGGTGTTGACCAAGCAAGGTGTACTGCTCCCCTTGGCAGTATGTCATGAATGGTGGGTAGCTCTCCCTGGGGTGCCTCTTGTCTCTCCCAGCACAACCAAGAGTGGCACACACAGTTTGGGGCCTAAAGATGAAAGGCTTCAGGAAGCTGCAAGAGTGCTGTCCTCCACACTTTTCTCCCAGGCCCCGAAGACGTCATAGTGCACCATATTGCAAGTGGGTTTGTGCCTCTTGAATGATTCAGCAGTACTCCTCCATCCCTTCCTCCCTGCATGAGTCAGTGAAGACTTTTTTTTTCCCTGATATGTTTTACTTCAGAAGATCAGCGATTAAAGAAAGGAAATACAGAAGACTAATAGAATTACAGTATAAGTAAAAACAATTTGGAATTCAGCACATCGCTTATGACTTGGGCCAGAGGCTGCTCCAGGTGCCTGAGTTTCACAAGGCCTTTTCCTTGCCTTGTCTACTTCACAGCTTTTTGTCACAGCGGAGTGTGAGGTGACTGCCAAGCTGGGTTTCATCCCACTGAGTGACTAAAAAGAGTGGTTCTGCCTCTGTTCATTTTTTGCCCTGTAGCTGGGCAATTTCTACTGAAGTTCACATTCCTCTCCTGTTTGTGCATGGGAGCATGTGCTCCTGGCTTGCTTTAGTCAGACATGTCTGTGAAAACTGAATAACAGGGAATACTTTGGGCTCCCAAGGCTGTCTCCTGTCATGCTGTGCTGCTTTTCTTGCTTCACTTCGGAGGCCCTCTGGCAGGCTGTTGGTGCCTCTTGTCCACATGTAACTGCCTGTCTTCCCCCTGCCTTCCTGACTGTACCTGACTTGCCAGGAGCCAAATGAGCACAGTCTGCCATTTACACAGCTCTGTCCAATAATGGGATTAATGGCTTGTTGTCCCTCTGTGCTCTCATGCTGAATGCTCGAAGGTGTTGGGCCACAAGGTGATCAGATGACCAAAACGTTCGCTATCAAGAAGAATTGTCAAAATAGTTGGGTTGTGGTTGTTTTCCTGATTACTTTTCAAGTTCATGAAAGTCCCTGCCCTTCTGGCAGCATCTGGCATCAGAAGTGCTATAGGATTGTGAGAGAAGCAATTCTCGTGGCATCGTCCTTGTTCTAGGATGGTGGTGTTTGCTTGTTTACTCGGAAATATGAACTGCCAGATGAACCTGCAAATGCCAGAGCAGATGGCCGCAGCATAAAGTCCTAGGCAGAGAGATCACTGTATTTTGCAAAACCTGTTTTTCTTGTGCTTCATGTCAGTGTTTGCTGGTGCAGTCACACAGTTATCCAGGCTGTGGGTTTTTTTCATCATAGTAGGGCTCCAGACTTGCTGAAGTTCACTCTTTGTAGCAATCCCTCCACCTGCTCAAGTTTGAGACTACCTGCTTGAGAGCAGCTGGCTCTGAATACTGAAAAGTGTGGCTGAAACCACATGGCTCAGCTGTCCATTCGGTGAAATGAGAGGTCACTACAGTTACTTAGCTCTGGCAATATTCTTCTTGCTTCCTCTGTTTCCTCTTCGCAGGCAACCAGTGGAAATCAAATTATTCACAAACCGAGGTGTATGTATAGAAGCCATGGATGTTTTGATGGAGACGGTGAACTGCCCAGTGCTGGAGGTGGTAGTGGAGGCTGTGAAATCTGTGGCAGCTTTCCTGAGGTAGGCAGGAAAGTATTTGCAGGCTTTTCTTCAGATGGATCCGTTGATACCATGCTGGTCTCTGCAGCTCCCCAGTGGCTGTGTGGGTGAGTGTGCTCTGCAGTGGGACTTCTGACTGAGACGGGCGTGGGTGCAGCAGAGCTAGCTTCCCCTCTGCCTCAAAAGGCTTCCAGGGCAATGAAGCTGTGGTAGGCAGCAAGTCACTGCAGTGAGTACCTGATTTCCCAGGCAGCCTTGTACTGCGGCTGCTGTGGCTTTGTCACTCTGTGCCTCATCCAGATAGATAAGAGGAAGCATAAGACTCTGTACAGTCATATGCTTCCTGACTGTAGTGGGAGCAGACAGGGAGGCAGTGAGGGTGTGTTTGAGTGCATATGTGGATGGAGGCACTGTTCAGATAATTGTGACCTTAGTATGCTGTGCTGGAGAGAAGTGGCAATGGCATGTTACTGTCAGAAGAGCTGTTTTTTCTGCTGGTGTTCCCTTCCCAGGTGGAATGTCCCCAGCAGGGAATGTGCATACTGTCTTTCTCTCCGCTTGTTCAGGAAGGACCATCTGAGCTCCCCTCCAGTCCCATATGAAGAGCTGCAGAAGCTGCTGGAGGCAGTGCTGAAGCGATGTGCTGACCTTTCCCCACCACAGAGTAGCAAGAAGCATATAGTAAGTCAAAAGTTGTTGCCTGTTGGTAGGACCAAGCAGGATGGGGATGATCCTCCTAGCACACTATGTGAATGTTGTATATATGTCCCATCTCCTTCTACGGTTGTTGGGTTCTCCGGTGTTTCTTCTGATCCTCATGTCTCAAGATGATACCAGTCTTTGTCTTTTAAGTAGCTGAAAATGGATGCTGGTGAGTGTTGTCTTTCTAAACTAATGAAGATTTGCAGGGCACCACTTGAGCACACTGCTCTCTTTATGTGTCCAGTACTCCAGAGTCATTTGAACTTCTCCTTCTTCAGGTCCCTGCCTTGTAGGCTGCATTAGTCAACTATTTTTTTGGTAATGAACATCTCTTGTTGTGCCTTCAGATGAAGAGGGTCCTCATATATGTGCTGTGGTGCCTCAACAAGGGAGCTGTTAGCCACTCTTTGAACTGCAAATCCTTTCCAGTTCCTGGAATACGTAGTTGGTGTGATGGGCTGCTGGGACCTATACACTTCTGAGGAGAGACCCCATTACAGATGGCTAGTGAAAAGACAAGGGCTGAGCCTTCTTGTTGTAGGCTTAGAGCCATGTAGGTTTAGATCACGTCTGTAGTGGCAAGAGGATCTTGCTATAGTACCAGAGCTCCAAATGCCTGATGAACTATTTATAGGCCCAAGTTCTGTGGTACTAGATGTCTGTCTTCTCTGCCTGGGGAAGGCAGAACTGCTTTCTGCCCCATAGACAGATGTTGGTCAGTGTCTTTACACACACACAGAGCTTGGTGTCCCATTCAGAATAAGGAGCTTCACAGGAAGGAAATTAGGCTGATGATAAGGACATCCAGGCTGTCTTTAAGGGGAGAAAAGGGGAAATGATTGTACCTGTACAAAGGTATCTCAGCATCAAATGGAGAAAGAAAAGAAGTTCTGAACTGCCAGGCTTCAATGTGTCACCATGCCCTCCTCTGGTAGTATTTGGAGAAGACCACCACAACAGGTTAAGGCTTAAAGGCAATTTTGATTCCAAGTGGTTCACCAGTTTGGGCAAATTAATAACTGATGCTGCATTTGGCTTCTGACTGAACTCAGTAGGATGCTGTGTGGGAGCAAGAGCTACTACTTGGATAGCTGCTTACAAATCTGAGCCAAAGTAGAGAACTTCTAAGATTTCAGTGCTGAGCAATGAGAGGAACTGTTCAGCATTGTCTGAAGAGTAATCGGAAGCAACAAAATTTAAAAAACCACCAAGTTTTCCCAGAAGGATTTGGAGCTCCATTAGCTGAGCAGTTTAAAACTCAGATTAGACCAAACCATGGCAATACAGACTGTAAAGACAGGGTGGCGCAGAACTAGTAGCCCTCTAACTCTGTCCTCCCTAGGAAGAGCACAAAAGCTCTCTAACTCTGCCCTCCCTGGAGGAAGCACAGTAGTTAAAAAAACAGTTGAGTGAAAGACATGAGTGAAGTGAATCTGTTGTTCCTCCTGCTGCTGGTATCAGGGAAGAAAGCTATTTTTTCCGACAGTAAACATAAGATTTTAAAGACTTATCTCCTTTAACAGGGTGATCTCCTATTCCCAGTGTCTCAGAGTCAGCCAGCAAACAGAAATCTCAGCAGAGTTCCTCGGAGACAGGGCCAGTTCTTGCTCAACACCCTGGAAAGTTTCAGAAATGCTTGCAGGTGAGGACAAGTCGGGGGTGGGCAGGTGAGTGGTGTGTGTGTCTGTGTCCGTCCATCCTTCTGCCCTTGTAACTGAGTTCCTCTACCCAGTCCCGCCACTGAAATATCACAGGTGAGTACACTGCATGACACTTGTCAGTGAAACAGCAGAAGGAGGGATATGCAGTGATAGTGAAAATTTTGTGACACCTGTATGTGTGTCTCAAGAAATTTGCCTGGGACCTATCAGTTTATTTCATATCTTTGGCCTTCAAGGAACTGCTTGAAAATTAGCCAAAACTGGTGACAGTGTAAGAACGGTTGGAAGGTTTGTGCAAAATGCTATTGCTGTGCCCTGGGGAATGTGGTCTCACTGCCGGAGGAGATTAACCATTTAGCAAATGTGTATCTGCTCCAGATGCTGTCCTGGTATTTGCTCGTGTCTGTGACCTGTTACTGAAAGCGTGTTTATAGGCACCAACTTTCCCTATTTTTCTTGATGAGAGCTCTCTCTCACACTTAGCTGCAAAGCAGATGGTGGTAGATGAGTTTGTGTACGAATCCGAATCTGTTGTTAGGGAAGTCTGGCAAACTTAGTTATTTTGCCTTGCATCACTTGCGTTTGGCTTGGCTGAGATAATTCAGTCAGAAGCAGGTGTCCCTGTCTGCAGTGACCCAGTGTCCTGGGGTGGTGTTAGAGGGCACTTGGGTTCTGCCATGGTTTTTAGATCGGCTGAATGGTCCCCTGGCTGATTTTCATGAGGTTTGCTGTATTGTGCTCCGGGCACTGTGGCCTGGCCGAGGACCTTTAGTCTTGCCACACTAGGGCTTCCCACTGCAGACACTTTCTTCACAGAAGCTAAATCTTCCTTTCCCAACTTGTACTGTTGTGCAACATTGCTGACTTTTAATAGCTTCACTCAAGAGGTAACTTGATGAGATTGCCAGATGCCTGTGTTTCCAACCCATCAAGTGTTTATGGGGTCCTTATGGTGAAAGTTGTGATGGAAATGTAGTATCTCCTGACTCTCTTTACAGAGTGAGAAGGATTCTTCTCTCCACTGCTATCTGCTGTGTGTTTGTAGGTTAGCAGTGGAATTCCAGAGTGACCCTATGGCCCAGGAGAACGCTTTCACTGCCCCCAACTCTGAGAGTAAGGACACACTGAGAAACTTCTCCGAGTTCCTGTTGAAGATTTTTGACAGTCTCTGCATCCCCATGGTCATGGTAGGGTTTCTTTTGAACTTGGTCTATGCCTTACATACCTGGAAAAGTGCCTTCAAGCACCAAGAGTGGGTTGCACAAGTGGTTGTTTTTGGAAAGAGAGCATGTAGGGTAAACCAAGAACAGCTGCGGCTTTTGCCACCTCTCCAGAGCCAAATGTGGCATTATACAGTTGCAAAATGGGAATATATGGTCTCAGAGGGCGGAGAAATTCATAAAGCTTCCATGTAGATGGCAGTATCTTTCTTCAGACTGTGCGATCCCCATAGCCTACCTGCCATGCTCTCTAATCCACGGCACTGAATGTTGCAGAAAATGAAGCATGCCCGAACTGTTGTTTCCCCTTCTGCCACCTTTTCAAAACTTGCCTGTGTCCCAGAAAGCAGCGTTGTTTTGTGCCTACAATTTCATTTTCATGCTTCCTTCCAGAAGGTACTGTTGAGGTTGCCCACTCTACATGGCAAGGGCAGTACTAAGCATTGTGCCTCAGTAAGGCCAGGAACATGGTTTAAAAAGCAGCCGCGGAGAGTTGCGTGTGCTTTAGTGCTCCATACAGACCTGTCACTAAGATGCTTTGAGCAGAATTGTTAAAACAGTTGGACTCTGGTTGTGGTTCCAAACGTTGAGTAAACTTTGCATGTCCTTTGCTACAGACTCAAGTGTATGGATTCTTGCAGTTGTTGGGAGTTTGGAGATGTTTTGTTCTGTATTTTCTTAACCAATTGCTTGGTAGGCAGCTGCAGTGGTGTTGCTGTTCTCCTCCCTGAAGGGAGGGTGCAGTGCATGTCCAGTCTGGCAAAGCTGGAGTCAGTGCGCTGTTTCTTGCTCATTGAACTTGGATAAAAATTAATGTACTGTGAGAAAATTGCCCAGTGACCTTCTACAAGAGTGAGTTGAGTCGTTCTGTTCTAAACAGTTTAGGGCTGGACTCTGCAGAGAGCTTAAATGTCTGTGTTTGCCGCTACTCAGTAAAATGCTGAAGCACAGATGTTGAGTGTTACTGAAGTCAGCTACACTTAAGCATGTGTCCTATATTGTACGCCATGCTGGAGAACTAGCCATCCGACCTGTAAGAGCAGTTATGTCCAGGGTAATATGGGCAGTAATGTCAGTCACTGGCCTAACTGGTTGCCAGCTGGAATCAGGAGGAAGTTTGTTGTTTGATGTAATGTCTTGCAGAGTTAGCAGCACAGCTCGTAATGTTGGCAGAGGGGAGTGTTAGTTGCTTTCAAAGTGCTCCGTAAGCCTGTGTACTTGCTGCCAGGCATTTTGGTAGAAGAACTGTTACTCCATTTGTGTGGATTTAGAAATCTAACTTTCTAGGCAGGCAGGAGTCCAGAAGAAAGCTGCTGTTTTCAGTGTTTATTGAATATCACACACCTGATCTTTTCTTCTTTCCACAGAACTACCTGGAAAGGGCTGTCAGCCCATCAGTGATGGAGGTTTTCATCTCAACAATTAGTACTCTCTTTACAGCGGTGCCAAACATGCAGAATAAGTTCTCCAAAAAGCTGGGTATGGGGGTAGTGTGGGGTCATGTTCTCTGTGCTCTTAACTGATGGAACTTGCTGCTACTGCATATTACTGAGGCAATGAGCTTAACGAGATTTTATGAGGAGGATTATATTACATGTTTATATGAGTAAGAACAGAGTGCA